CTTGTGAAATCCGTTGATCCGTTTCCCAGGAGCTGCTGTGGAGGGGACAGTAGGGCTTGGAGAGAGCTTGGAATTCAGTTAGAATAGAATCATAATAAATAGAATAATAAATAAATTAGTTGAAGTTGTCTTGCTAAATAAAACAACTTTTTTATTCTGATATACAAGAGAAACATAAATTGATTATTTTAATGTATTTAAAATAATAAATTATTTAATACTTTAATTTCTAATAAATTTAAAATAATGTCTTTAAAATGCATCGACTTATTAAGCAAAGGAATCACTACTTGCAGTTAAATGTATTTAGTTTTGCTTGTTGCTGCTTGTCATATTTTCAAGAATATAGTCTAAAATTTCAGACGAGTATTCCAGGGGTTTTTGAAAGAAGATGAGCGAATTGAGTGCCCATTTTCCGTTGCTCTCAGAAAAATTCTGTAGCCAAACACTAAATGCCTTTGATGTTCCACTGGGTGTCTCTTCATATCTTTAGATACCTGAATATCTCTTACAATACAACCCATGGTCTTCATACCAAATTAGTATATCTGAAGGTGCCCTGGCTTTTATTTGTAGATTGAAAAAAAAAAAAAACCCCAAACAAAAAACCCACAAGAAAACCCAAACCAATGAACCTTTTTTTGTTTTCCTAAATAATAAACTGTCTCACATGCATTTCTATTTAAATCTCCAGATCTGCCTGAAATTGAAGGGGATTATTTATTGCATAGTTCTGTATAATGGAATATATTTACTTAAAGCTGTACAGGTCGTGTTGCATTTATAGCTCGAGTTTAACAGGTTTTCCCCCAATTTCTTCTGGAAATAACAAGGTAGCATCTCTTGGCTCACTAGAACTGGCCAGAGGTTTGTAAACACTTTCTATTTTTTAAAAATTTCTTAGAATCATAGAACGGTTTGGGTGGGAAGGGAACTTAAAGCCCATCCAGTGCCCCCCCCTGCCATGGGCAGGGACACCTCCCACTAGCCCAGGTTGCCCAAAGCCTCATCCAGCCTGACCTTGAACTCCTCCAGGGATGGGGCATCCACAGCTTCTCTGGGCAACCTGGGCCACTGCCTCACCACCCTCGTCATAAAAAAAATCTTCCTAATTTCTCATCCAAATTTCCCCTCTTTCAGCTTAAACCCCTTCCCCCTCGGCCTGTCCCTGCACCCCCTGATCCAGAGCCCCCCCAGCTCTCCTGTAGCCCCTTTCAGCACTGGAAGGTGCTGGAAGCTCTCCCCGGAGCCTTCTCTTCTCCAGGCTGCACACCCCCAACTCTCTCAGCCTGTCCTCGCACGGGAGCTGCTCCAGCCCTCGCACCATCTCCGGGGCTCCTCTGGCCCCGCTCCAGCAGCTCTGTGTCCTTCTTAGGTTGGGTGCCCCAGAGCTGAACTTTCCTGTAATTTATTTAAAACAAAACAAGTGAATTCTCACATAAGAACAAATATTTTTATTTTTTTAACCTGTCTTAGCCCCTTTTATGTTTTTTAAACAAGATCTGCCAAGGTAAACATAGAAAGGTCACTTTTTTTTCTTCTTTTTAAAAATATCTCATTTTTGAATGCTGCAATAGCAGCGCCTGCTAGGAAAGGTGACCTGCAGGTGCAATAATAGGGGCAGAGATGGACTTTAAATGGAAATTTAAAGGAGGACTTTAAATTTCCTCCGACTGAGTGTCTGAGGGCTCGCTGGAGCAGGTGGGAGAAGGCACTTCCAGAAAACGTGCAGGCTTTGGAGTAGCTGGCGGGTAGCTGTCACAAGTCAATTTTGGGTAGGAAAGGGGAGCGAGTGCTTCGGTTCAACCTTGTGCTTGCTGCTAACCCTGCACTACCGTCTGCTGTCAGTAGCTGGAGCCACCAGGCTGTGGATTCGACTGCACAGCAAGGGAGATGTGGATAGAAATCCGTCACCAATAATTCTCGTCAGATCTTAGCACTGTTTGCTCTTTACTTGCAACTTTTTATCCGCCTCAGTGAGAGACTGACGCTCTCAGCCTTTCTTCACCTTTTCAGGTTGCCTATTTTTGCCTAATTTTTCTTGACTCTTTCTTTTTTGCTGGCTGGTCTGTGATATCAGTTAAACACAAAATTAATGGTTGGATTTTCTCCATCTCCATCTCTTTGGATGCTCTCTGTACTAACCGCAGCCTCGGAAATGTCACCGAGCAGATATAATCCTTGAAGATTGGCTGTAGAGCACGTTTCCAGAAACATTCATTTCTGGCTTTTCAATTAATGCTTCATTTCTTGTGGTATTTTCCTTCTCTGGTGCCATGTCTATTCTACAGATTTCTGTGTTAGAGTTTACAAGCAATCTAACTATAAATGGGTGATGGTTAATGCGGCAGACTTGAAGCAGTTGGGTCATCAGCTCCGTTAGTTTGCTTTTCTCTGCTGTGCAGTTGTTTCATTCTCATTTCATCTGTGTCTCATCTCCCACTGTCAGGAATGGAAGATGAAGGTTTTCTTTAGGGTTGTAGCGATCTGTGAAACAGTCTGTTAGAAAAAGAAGAAGACAGAGCTTTAAAAACCAGTGGCTGGTGACTGTTTAAAGGCGTTGGCAGTGTTTTTTTGCAGACTTTCTTATTCAACAGATAACTGAAAATATCAGTCTTGCGTACAACAGATCTTTTCAAAATTTTAAAATTGCAATTTATTTATTTCTTACAGTGCCACAAGGTTGCAGTAGTGAGAGAGGATCAACTTGAAGGTAAGGAGATTGTGAAAATTACGTGGTTTTAACTTTTTTCTTTGAAAGAACAGCAAAATGAGTAAAGCTCAGAACTTGCCATCTGCACGTAAATGCCTGGTCAGGCTGTTGGGTTCAGGTGTGTACTTTTTGTACTGTCTTTTTCTCAGAATTTTGAATATCTGAGCCAACAGCTGCGTAACTTCAGACTTATGATTTGAGTCTGATTATTTTTTTTTAATGTTGAACATTATTCAGCGATTCTTTTTCATCTCCCTGCCCCTGACAGACAGCTCCTCCTTAAAGCCAACAATATCTGAGCAGCACACAGCGCTGTCTCACAGTGTTCTAGAACAATTATAAGCCTTCAGGCTCCTGAGGATGCTGAAGCAGATAATTCTAGTCATTGGTTAAATGTTATTTCAGTCTTTGTCCTGAGTGCTGTGGGTATCAGTTAAATGTCCCACAAGAACGTTCTCACTTTTGTTTCACAGTAAAAAGTGAAAAAATCCACCCCTCTAACACTGCTCCTTGCAACTGTTCTCCGTGCGCTGCCAGTCGTCTGAGCACCTTTCCAGGTCTGGTCCTGCTGATGAGATCTGATCCGTAGCGATTGAAACACAGCTGCCAGCTCTTCCTTGCTTTCAAATAACATCTTTGCCATTTGAGAACGTACTGTGGTGTTTGTGACCTTAAATATTCATGATCTAACTTTTTTTTTTTGAGAGGCTTGGGTTATTTATTTTCCTTTTTGACATCTGAAGTGGATTTCTAACTAAAGCTGTCCTCGTCAGTAGATTGTCAAGCAGTGCATCTTTGTTGAATTTTGTGTGCTGCGCAATACTCTGGTTTGCTGTGGAAGAAAGAGTTGTTGGTGTTTTTTTGTATGAGAAGACAGGCCAAAGGTATGACTTACATTTGGAAGAGGCCAAGATTTGTGATGGGACTAGGGCTGCGTAGTGTAGGCCTGGCCCCAAGAAACGATTACTGTGTGTATTTTTACAGTGCTTAGAAGCTCTGTCTCACACCAGGACTGTGTGGAAAGAACAAAATAAGCAATAACCAAAGAATTCCTAAAAACCAGCCCTTGTCTCAAGGGAGTAAAGAGTCTAAATAGCAAAGAAAAAACAAAACATTGATTTCAGCAGGCTACTGGAGAAGACACTGGGACACTAGTTGATACAGTGGACGCTGCCTTGATGGCAGAGAGCAGTTTCAGCAGGGTGAAGTTATCAGTCTAATTTTCTTCCTTAGCTTTAGGTAGCCGTATAGATATTCTGGATCCCAAACACCAGATATTTTGAAGGTAAACAGTGAGATTACACTCTTGGTTCTTACACTAATGGATTAAGAGCAAAGTGGAAAATATGTTTGACAGGCTTGTGGGGTCTGTTACCTTGAGTTCTCAATTAGTGAGCAGTGGAAAAGGCACAATTACACATTTTTACATTCAGGTCCTTGCTGTCAAGTGGTCTGACCATCTTTCTCTATCCTTGCTAGAGCTTGAGACTTCAAGTTGCCACCTGATTCTGTAAAGGCCATGCTAACAGAGGACTATTATTTTTTTTTTTCCCCAGCAATGAAGTCTAAACTGGCCACGATTGCGAGCGTGCATGTCTACAGCATTCAGAAAGCCTTGCTCAAGGACAGCGGCCCGCTCTACAACACAGATTATGATATTGTCAAAACAAACCTGCACAACTGCAGCAAGTGAGTCGCATCTTGGTTTTTCTTCTTACGCTGTGTGATTTCAGACAGATGAGATGTTGCTACATAGTGCACTTCAGAAGAAGACAATGGTTACCAGATATGCCTGTATTTTCAGAAAGCTAGGAAAAGACATCTTCTAAATCATGCCAGCCCAGTCCCCAGACAGCACGTTGTAGGATTGTTTCATAAACCGAGCTATTTTCAGCTTACAGTTGGTTTGCTTGCTCCGTTACCCCAATGGGCAGACGGTTCCGGTACCTTTCTTCTCTGATGGTGAGAAACCTTTTTCTCATTTCCAAGCCACACTTAATCACAACCATTTTTATCCAGTTCTCAGTCACACAGTAAATCGAAACAGACTTAGAAAAACATGAGCGATGTGCTAGCAAAGCACTAACATGAGTTTGCCTTCTGGTTTTGCCTTCTGTTTTGTGAGACTCTGTTTTCATCCACTGGACTCATCCACCTCTCTGAAGATGTCTTACAGGAACTCATTCTCCATATTCCTCTGCCACAGGCTGGGAGGAGAATGGCTGGAGAG